TGTTAAAGCACTTGTATTTTTTTTTTTATTAATGGTATTGAATGATTTGGTATTTGGGAAAAATTATTTATTTATAAACTGATTAAAATATCGTATTATATTATACTTGTTTAGATAAATATTCTTTTTTTAAATGCTAGTTTGATATTTTTTTATATCGTAATAGACTTAAAGTATATTATTTTATAAAGAAGACTGATATTTAAGTGAAACTAAGGTAGAACATCGAATTGTTTTGCACAATAAATATACGGCACTGAGAATATCATTATAAGTAGCTTATGATCATGAATATATAAATAGCACATTGAACATTTTGAAATAAAATATTCATCTATGGCTAGAGGTTTATATATTATTTATTATTTGTATCATACATTTTTACATAAAAAAAAAAAATAATAATAATAATCGTTAATTGATCAGTTAATATGATACGTGTAAATTTCAAAAGTAACAATAGATCAGTACTTTTATAAACATTGATTTCGAGCTTTTTCAAAAGGCTTGCGCATCATTAATTACGGTTTTCCAAAGCAAGCGATAAGTTTAATGACCATTTTAAGATACAAAATATTGTATATACACACAAATATATATATATATATATATATATATATTTTTTCAAATAAATAAAGAACCAAAGTTTGATTATTTTGTTATGTCGTTATGGGAAAGTTGACATGGTTCCATTTAAACCGGGAAATTAGTTGCTATTCGTCCTCTTCCACTTCCCGCCCATCGTTTTCCAGCCAAAAGTCATTGCACCGTGTCCAAACGGGATCTTATATGGTCAAGGTCCGGCGGAGTCCATTAATTTAAGCCCAACAGGAAATGTCCTGAACAAATAAATCTCACCAAGACAAAAACCATAATGTTAGCTTATTGTGTCCCTCAGCTAAATCGATAGGAGATGTGAGACGGCTATATATGGTATTAAAATATTGCTAATGTGTGTATAGGTTCTGGCTAGTCGTATGGCATAAATGCATTTGGTATATACTCTGCACTTCCGACAACAGCTGTTTAACCATATTGTATATCGCTAACAGGTATCTCGAGGAACGAAAGTTTTCAATATGAATTATAAAAATTAAATACTATTCTTGATGGTAAATAAACTAGATGTGCGTTGCGGTCGACTCGTTAACTGCCGTTATGCTACACTACAGCAGTATCAACGAAGAACCTTCAGTTTGACGAAATTACCATAACAAAGAGAGAAAAGTTTTCGAAATTCAATCGCAAGCAATTGCCAATCTGTTACCACTTTTATTTTTATTTTTTTATGTTTATTTATATATATAATCAAAAGAAATTCCATTAATAAAAAAAAGTGTCGATTTGAATGGGAGACCTTCGCGTTGGTTATAATAAAATTTATTGTCAGTAGAAAACAGCCTGTTTTGCATAATTGAACGAAGAATACATAAGTGGTCCACAAACTGTATATTTACTTTTTAGGTGTACAGCAATAATATAAAGGATTGATGAAACAACCCTTTGTTATATCATTTTTATTGAAATTAATATTTGAGAAAAAAAACCGATGACATTAATTCACCATTAATAACATGGAAGATGAAGAAAAGTCCGTTTGTAATTATTTCGACGACAACAATTGAAAACAAGCTATTTATACTTATATCCTCTTGTTTGTGCGTCTCATTCAAAACCAATTCATCACAATATCATTTTCAAAAATAATAGAAATAACCACTTTTATAACAGTCCATTGTCAGATATTTTTGTAAGATTGATTTCACGTCATTGATATTAATCGGCACCTGCCCGAAAGATGTATACAGTCAAACAACTGTTTATTTTCTTAAAATATCGAATATTAGTATAAAGTTTTCATCCGCAGCGAATTGTAACTGATAATGTCACTCTTAGATGGGCTCGACATTTAATTTGATTTAAATTATGCCTTTTAATGTTTTTGAATTTTTTGAATACGATAAAAATTGATGGTGAAAATGAAAAACTAAAAATAAACTTTAGTTAACATATAAATTATATTGTTGTACAACATGTTGAATAGTTTAGAATGATTTAGTAGGTACTTATTTATTCTAATTGTTTATAATAACTTTTTTTCACAAATATCTCTCTAAGTTTTCTCTTACTAATACCAATTTATGTTTCATATTATTTTTTGACTTATACACCATATGAATTTAATAATACAATTTTAATTTATAAATTAATTACCATAAACTTACGCTCGACTTTATTTTTTATTCTAACATTGAAAATTTATGAGAAACTTTGGGATATATTAAAAAAAAAAAAATTAACGGCGTTATAAAATCTTTTATTGCCATTTATTTAGTTGACAACTAAAATAAACCTAAAAGTCAAATATCTGTAAATAGCTTAAAAATTATCAAAATATTTTGAAAAGCATACCATATATACATGAAACAAATGGACATTATTGTAAAATCAATAAATTTATTCATCTCTAAGAATCTAAAATAATATACATATATTTATAAATAATTAAAATAAAATTGATCTAATTTATAACTTAGATTAAATTAAAAATGATGTTAATATGTACTAAACAATAACATTTGTTTAAGATAAAGATTTTCTACATTCAAAAAACAAATTCGAATAAAATGCATATAAGTACGTGAAGATTATAAAAATGTCATCTAAACTATTAGTTTATTTACTTTTATCTTTTGTTTAAACAGCAATTAAGAGAGTTGTGCGATACCCTTATTTTTATTTCAAAATACCCTATTTGGTACGGGTGGATAATTCTTTGATAAAAATCCTGAAAATATCGAATCAGTTAAGTTTATTTAATAATATAATCTTAGATTCAGAGTAGAGTGATAAGTGGATTGATTTTAAAATGATATGTGGTTTTTTTTTTTTTTGTGTGTGTAACTCATAAACAAAGAATTATAAATACTTGAAACTTTCACCAAATATTTATATTATCGTTCTTTTATTTACGATAACATGTTGAAAATATTTCCACTATTTTTAAACTATTTATAGGCATAAGACATTTTATATTTTTTTTAGTTCTTTTTTTTTTAGAGATGTTGATTACAAATTATATAAATGATAAAACTATTTGGAAATTTGATGCTAAGCTTCTTATAAGTTGATAATTTTTTAATTAAAAAATATCGAAAATTTATAGTCACTACATTTTTTTTAAAGGTTTAAAGTTAGATTTTTGAAAATATTTATGAAAATCGCAAAAGTTAACAAATTACGTATTTTGAAACTAGGTATTTATAATGGTATTGAATACCAAAGATTTAAATATAACAATGTTTTTTTATAAATTTTTAACCTGTATAAAATAAAATAAAATTTTACCAGAAAGTGAAATCTATTTTTCATGAGTATTTGAAATTTTTAAAATGTTTAAGACATTAAATATTTAACCATAAAATAATTATATTTCCTCAAAATGTTTTTGATGTTTTATTGTATTTCAAAATAAAAATAACAGTAAACACTTGAATTTTCACATAATGTTTACTCTTTCATTTTTTTATTTACGATAAAATTTTCAAAATATTTTAATTACTCTTTAGTTATTTATATATGTGATACATTTTCAATATTCTTAGTTTTTTTTTTCTATAATTGGTCATCTCTGTTTGGAATCATTTTTAGTGTACAATGATATATCATTGAATTTTAATTTAGCACAACCATTATAATAATCCACTCTATATCTAAAACTCAAATTCCATTCGATTTATAAACAGACAGAATTATACCTCAAACAATAACAAGTACATTCCTATTATTTGATCATTAATTTATTTGAACCATCAATGCAAATATATTTATTTCAATAAAGTTCATATTTAAATCAACATTAACAAAAAACAAACTGTGTAATATTTTAGTGTTGCTATTATATTTCATTCTACAAACTGTATTTCTTTATTATTGTTTTATGTTTTTTTTTTTTTTTACACTATTTCATAAAAAAAAAAAAATGAATTGCATTGTTATATAACTTCATAATACGGTATCTAACATCAAAAATAAATCAAAGCTTATCAATAACATAATAGTGTTCGAAACGTTGCCAATATTTTTCAAAAAAACTGAATACGTTTTTACTATGAAAATCACTATGAGCATACATATGTGTAATTTTATGTATTAAATATTATTTTCATTAAGTTGGGAATAGTGTATTTTATAATTTATCATTGTAATCTTTTATAAATCATTATATTAATAAATATTTATTTATTTATGATAAATAATTAATAGTGAGATATCATTTACAGGTTTTTTTTGATTTTTTATTAAATTAGGTTTATCTTTAATTACTCCCAAATTAATGATATTAGTATGTAGTAGGTATTCAATTATTGTATTAACTAAATCTTATATAATATAAAATAAATATCTAGCATAGGTACTATATTAATGTAGTGAGTAGAATAAAACTAACAGAATGCTATAATTACAAAAGTATTGTTTTGTCAAGCATTTTGTATTAAAATATGTATAGTAATTTGTAGTTAAGATATATCGCATGTTTAAAATTATTTCAATAGTTGAAATATTGAATGTTATAGACTTATAGTGATGTACTGATGTTAATTAAGTTTCAAACTTGTTACAAATATTTAAGATAACTTCAAAGTCTTTATTTCGTTCAATAAATTGTTCAATAGAATTGAAAAGCTTTGAGTTATTTAACACAAATTATTTGTTTAAAGTATTTTTATTAAAAAAAAAAATAAAAACAAATATATTAATCACAAACAACGATATATGTTAAAACTTAAAATAGTTAATTCTGTTGACCATTGTACTGTTGTATAAAAGTAAATATTTAAATGTGTAATTTATTATGAAAATCAGTATTTACTTAATTTAAATAAAATTAAAACATTTTCAAATTTATCATTTATGTTAGAGTTCTTAAACATTATTTTATAATTTACAGGCCATTAAATTTATAATATATTATATGAAAAAAAAAATCATTTTCACAGGGTGTAATGGATATCAACCAAAGTTCACTGAACCCATTGGCAACATTACTGTACCGGTTGGCCGAGAAGCTATGTTTACGTGTTACGTGCATGGCTTAGGTGGTTATAGAGTGAGTATTATTTTTTTATTTATATGATATTATATTCTCATAAGGTATCTAGACGCTATTGGATTAAGAAATTCTTTAGGTCTTCGTAATTAATTATATTGCTGTAAATAACGTTAGGTATATAAGGTTACAAACTCTTAGCTATCTCTTAGATTCATTAAAATGTCTAGTTAGATACTCCTTTAATGTTCTCTAGTTATTCAAAGCACAATTAATGAATTCCATAAAATACTATGCAATAAATTTCTATTTAGTGTACAATGTATAATGTATATTGTATGACTATTAATTTCTCAAAAACCCCTGATAAACAACTAAAAATATTTATTTATATATTTATTTATTTATTTATTTATTTTTTTTTTTTTTTGATGCGATGTACTTACTGAGTTTTACACGTAATATATCTAAAAAAATCATTTGAAACTTTATCAATTTTTTCAATTTGAAGTCATAATTACCATGATGATATCAAATATGTAAATAATTTATGATGGTTATTGTAGTTGCCTATGTCAGGTGAATTTTTTTTTTATTAAAACTTAAAACATATTTTATAACTTTACTTTACATTATTATGATCATTGAACTAAGATTAATTATAATTATAACTTTATATTATTTTTCCATTTTTTATTAATTCCATTAATAATATTATATTAGAAAGTTAATTCTTAATTTACATCAAATAGCCAACTAAATATGTTTTAGTTATTATTGTAAATTTTTGTAAAATATAAAATTTAAATTACAATCATTGTAATAACATGAGATGTTTAATGATTTAAACAAGTTTTTAATTTAAATGTTTATGTATAAATAATTAAACAATGATAACCAATACTTAGTTATTTTATTATTGATGGAAAAATTATAACAATTAACTGCATGATTAATAATGAATGGTATTATTAACTTTAATGGACGTTAAATTACCGGTGAAGAAACGCGAGTGAAATGTATTTAAAGAATGATTTTCGATCCTGATACGTGCAAAGTAAAGGCAAAAGTAAATATAATAATATGAACATAGATAGTGTAAATATTTACACTATAAAAGCAAATGTTATCGAACATTACAAACTTCGTGTATGAGGATGTTTTGCCGAGTTTTTCTCTTAGTAGGGTAACAATTGGTGGGCAAATGATTTTGCGTGCGACGAAAATACAGCGAACTAGTGGGAAAGAGAAAAAGCGAGAGTTGGTGAGAGAGACGTTAAACCAATAATAAAGCAGGACAAGTAACACGTGTAATATAACGAAGGGTAGAAGATATTATTGCAAAGACCAGGTAGTTATTATTATTTCATGGTGGGCCTGTTTTGCATGGCAAACGATTGGAATATCCGGAGACGAAATTCCGTATACTGCTAGCTTCCTTGAATACCAAAATAGCCTCACATGTGCGCTCACGGTGGAGACGGTGGGTGGCCGATGGTGTACTTGAAGCATACACCAATTGCGAGGATACGACCGGAAAAGCAATTCGAATGCAACCCGCGAGTGATTTATGACACTTTTATGGCAACGACTGTACAAACGTTGGTTAAATTGATATAAAATGACACACTCGATTCGGATAAAACGGAAATTTTTTCTAAGGTTTGTTGACAACCAGATTCGGGTATCTTCGAAGAAATAGAGACTTATTTCTAAGAGTATCTCTTAGCTAAGTTGTTCACTGAGACCTTTACGAAATAGGTACTCTTATTGTTTTTAACATCGATAAGCTAGATGCAGTTCTTTGGCAAAATGCATATTATTGATTTTAAACATAGATATATATGGTAGTGCAATATGTCTTTAGGGTTCTGACTTTAAAATGAGATAATTTTAATTGGATTAACGTTCTAGAGGCAAACCGAATTAACTAGTTATTAGATATAGAATCCACAGTGGTGTGGTAAAGTGTACTATGACTATCGCGTGTCTCGACGTCTAGTATTACTTTTATATTATTCGGGAGGAAATCGCTAAATAAAAAAATTCTAGAGTTGATCGATAATAAATTAATAAAGAAAAACAATAATAATGTTTTTGTCGTATTGATTAATCACGTTTAACGATTTTTGGTCGTCAAGAAAAATTGTATTATTATTTTTCAAAATAAACAACTAAATCGACGTACTCAATTATGCATTTTTTACTTTAGTCAATGGATTTATCCTGGTGAGAAATTGGATAAACTTGACAAGTGATGTTTAATTAGTATTTTTGAAATTCAATAATTAATAAAATATAAAACCCCTACTATACTAACTATAAATAAGTTTTGAAGATGCATGTAAATGGTTTACAATTTAATTAAATAATTTACTTTAGATTTTGAGTGAAGGATTGTACTAGTCTTACAACGTTTTTTTAATTAGTATCTTATTTTTATGAATGCTTTTCTGGTAAAAAATAGTTCTCAAAAAGTTATAAATTTTACGGTATAGTAAAAAAATTAAATAAAAACTTGAATTTGTAATTTTTAAAATTTAGGCTTATTGTTTATACGGGAGAAAAAATAAATCTCTTACCACTGTAAAGTTAAGTTCTAATCAATATCGCTTTAATGTGATGGTTTTTATTTATCGATTTAAATTAACATCATAAATTGACCCCTATATTCTACATTAATGCGAGTGTATGTTGATTCGTGTGTTCATAATTACATACCTATTGGACTCTGCGTAGAATATTTATTTAAATGCTATACATAAATCACAAAAATTTAATAAAATGTATTGCAAATAATATATTTATATAAATATGAATACTTTACTAGTTACTTGCCAGTTATGTAATTAGTTACCTTAAAGGCTTATAAAAATATAATTTTTGTACACGAAAATTGGATTTTATGATATTAATTGCGGTTGATTTTTTTTATTTATATGCTTTATGTTAAGTTAAGGCTATTTATTTTGTTAAAATATTAGTAAAAAAAAAGATGTTAATTTTTAATTTTCTATTTATCAATTTTAAAAATTGTTCAAATTATGAAAAAAACAAATTTATCATAGCGTTTAAAGACTGTTGAAAGTGAAAATATAATATAAAATAACCAAACAATATCACATATTGTGTGTTTGTCGTGATAAATTAGTGACTTGATTATTAATTATAAAGCATATATTTCATTTGCTATATTATTGACAAATGTCAAAATAATATAATACATTTTTAAAAGTACATTGATTCAAACATAATATATAATAAACTATAACTTACACACATAATATGTGTATATGTGTATTTACATATTATGTAAATTGTTAACAACAATTTAAAACTTAACTGCGTATGCATTGTATATTTTAAGTTGTAATTGGTGACAGTACTAATTTTACAACAAGTCTATCACTGGAGTTTGATGTGAAAAATTTTCTTGGATCTATTAAACAATGAAAGTAGTTTTTAGTTGAAAATTTGAGCTTGTCAGTATATTGGGAAATCAAAAGTATAAAATTTTTAGGAAACCTTTGATAATTGGAAAAATAGCGGGAGAATAGGAATAATAGTTTTAAACAAAATCGATTTTGTTTTTTTTTTGTATTTCTGTCAAAAAACATGAATATACTATAATAAAATGTTTTTCATAAGTTTCTTTTTATAGCGTTTAATTAGCATTAATTAAAAATTTTAATTTAGATGAATTTTTTCGAAATTTAAAATTTTCAAATTATCTTTCTGTTCAAAATTTTTAAGATTTTCAATTTTGATTTTTAATAGTTTGGTATAAAATACTAGTTTTTCATAAAATATTTTTAAAACAATTCAAAATAAGTTTATGTATTTAGGTAAACAATGAATAAGTGTTTATATCCATTTTTTATAAAAGTAAAAATAACATGAATATTTACACCCAAACTCACACACAAATACAATTTTGAATTTTTAAAGGAAAGTTTTCAAATGATTTTTATTATTTTGCTATAGCCAAAAAATAATTATTTTATTAACTAGAATCTTTTTGAATTACATAAAACATATACATATGTATTTTATGAAAGAAATGGATATTGATATAGAATATTTTGTCTTAAAAACGTTTTTTTAATTATAATTCTCTATTTTCTTTTTTTATAATTGCATTCCTTTTTTTTAATTATTTCTAAAACAATACAATTTTTATATTTTTTGAAATTTATTAGAATTTTTTAAACCTGTGTTTAAAATCCAAAATTGAATTCATTCATAAATAACTTCATGAGTTTATTATTAATTAAATATAATATAATAATAATAATATAAAACAAGGAAACGTCAACAAAAATTGTTTTTAAAATTATTTTTAAAAATATTAATAAATAAGACAATTAAATAAATGTATTATTAAATAACTGTTAACCTGGATTTTTAATTACTCATAATTTATTATTATACTAAGGTTTCTAAACGTGTGTACTAATATTAATAAACACATTGTTCACATTTAATAATAAACAAAAATAAAAACGGACACTGGTCAATACAATCGCAAATGTTTACTAAGGCATAATACATATCACTTTTAACCATTATCCGAATGATAGTGTAAGTCTGCTTAAAATGTCCTTTCTACTTTGTGAACCATTCTGTAAACTTTAAGGATTGTTTAAAGCTCTGTTCGACAAAAGACGTGCCGATTGTTCTCAAAGTTTAGCAAAACCAAAGGCTTCACCTTTAGCTGCGGAATTTTCATAAGTTTGACTGAAACCTAATGTTTAAGATTTTTGTTTCAATATCTTAGTGCTTGATATTTATTTTGTTCCAAATATAACTTCATATTAAAATAATATATTCCTTAATCACAATTTGTTTTATTTTTCTGTTACTAGACAATTGGTCTGTATTTTCTACATTTTCAGACTTGATAAAGATCTATAAATCTTTTTACCAGCTGTTTTTATTGTTAAATATTAAATTGTAAATATTATTTATCGAAAATATTGATATTTTAGATATTAAGCAGTTTTATTAGTTTTATAAATTTATAACAATAATTTTTTCCCCATTTTTTTTCATATAACAGTATAAATATAATATCCAATATCTATTTAACTATAGACAATTTTAATTTTTTATTATTTTTCGCGTGTACTGAATATGCGAATGTTTGTTACTTATAAATATAATAATATTAGTCGTACCTTTATATTAATCAATACTGTCTAGATACACAACATTCTGATTGTTGTATCTAATCTGAAGGCCGTCGCTGTCAGTCCGATTAGTCTAATTACCACACACTATATAGATTGCTAAAATGTCAACAACTACGAACAAAAATAATACTAACCTAATGCCAAAGATCGATAAGCTCGCAAATCAAAATTTTAATACAATTTCTAATTCAAGTTTAAATAACGAAAACATCTGTAATAATTCATTGAACTTGCATTAAATAATAATTGGATGACACAAAAAAAAAAAAATCACTCAAACTCGTCATATACTAACTCTGATCTACCTATTTCTCTCAAAAAGAATCAGCATAAAAATAAAAAACTATTTTCAACCAAATATCGATTTGAAGTATTCAGTTAAATGGATCAACCAGTCGACCCTTCCATTGAAGACGTCCTGAGCTCAGCTCTTAAACGAGAAATTAGTACAATCATTAAACCCCTTCTGCCTATTTTCGTTAAAGGAGTAGATGATTTTCCAGACGTATGCACAGAACTAATCGACTTGATTGGTGTTGATAATTTCTACTGTAAAGCAACCACCGATCGACTAATACACAGTGCTCTAATCTCCAGCTAGAGAAAATTTATCCATTATGAATATAAAACTTTTTCTTGATAGATAACATATCGTAATAAGTTTCCTCCGACCACGCTGCAGTAAGTTTTTATCAATTGATGGATGATATAATTTTTTTGGTGAGTTGAAACGCACCACAATGTAATACAACATTTCGTATAAGTTAATCGTAGAGCAATAAAATTAGAAATAATATTAATTAACAATTATACTTTTGTTTAAATTTTCAAAGAATTTCCACAAAATTTAACATTACGATAATTTAAAAACTATATTAAAATTAAAATTAAAAATTAATTAATTTTTTTATTTGTATATTTCATGTTAGATATTTTTTTTTTTTTTAACACATTTAAATATATAATTTTTAAAACCATAAAAATTTTTACATGCTACAAGTATTTTGAACAAACAATATTTATAAAATATTCAGTTATTATAACTAAGGTTTAAGAATTTTATTTGGTATAAATTATATTTAATATTATTATAATAATAATTAAATACTAATAATATATTAAATGCTACATTTTTGTAAATATTAAAACAACTTATCGTTATACCAATAGTTAAATAAATTACTTTAATATCAATTTAAAAAAACAAATTATGAAAGTTATTTAATTAAATGGATTAATAGATAGTCTTCGCTCAGAATCATTTTTTTTTTTTGTACAACAATATATTATTGAATTTAAATTTAACACATTTATTAAAAGTGGACTTTTTTGAAAAAAAAAGTTGTCAAAAAGCTATAAACATTTATTATGAACGAAGTTCAAATTTTGACAAAATTGAATATTTTCATGCAAAATAGTGATTTCTTTTCAAATTATTTTTGTGATTTAGTTATTTTTCAAATAATATTAACCCTAGAAACTTTTAAAATATTTAAACTAATTTTAAGGGTATTTGTTAAAAAAAACCGTGTTTCTAAAAACTGATTCAGACCATTCTACAGTACGTCGGCAGATAGCTATAAAGTACAATTATAATGATTAGTGACTAAAATATAATATGATTCGTTTTTTTTTTTTTTTTTTGCAAAAGGATAGTTATAAATTTATTTAAATATATTAATATGTATCTAAATATTTATAATATTGAATTGAAATCTAACACATTCATTACAATAATCTACTTAATGCAAGGTTAAAATATTATACATATACTATACAATAGGTTAGGATAATTTTTTTTATACAACTTGCATAATATATACATATATTATTAACTACTTTTTCTGAAATTGAAAATATAATATTATAGTTTTATAGGTTGATTTATTTTTTGTTAATTTGTAGTATTTTATTTTATATTTCTATGTACTTATTAGATGTATATATAATTATTTTAGGTTGGTTGGGTGAAAGCCGATACAAAAGCTATTCAAGCTATACATGACCATGTCATTACGCATAATGCTAGAGTGTCTGTTTCTCGTACCGATGATTCGACATGGAATTTACATATAAAAAACGTACAAGAAGAAGACCGTGGTCAATATATGTGTCAAATTAATACTGATCCAATGATAAGTCAGGTAATTTGTTTTAAACGTAATAATTAGTATTTATATAAGATTATAATAAATTATTTGAAAAGATCTTTTCATAATATACCATATTTATTTAACGTCACAGTTTTTATTAGCTATAATATGTACATAATGTATTACAGTGGACGCCGTTTATTTTCATATTTTATATTACTGGTTTCGATTCATTTTTTATAATGTATATATGTACAACAGATTTTATCATATTTCACATTAATTGCAATTATCGTAATATTGTTGTGTGATTAATGTTGAATATGAATACGAGCTGTTTATTTCCGTAATATAAGAACATATACTCGTAGTCTAAAACAAAACAGAATTACAATTTTTTTCCTAAATAATAATTATGTAGTATGAACATACTGTATACATAATTTATAATCTTTTTGATTAATATGTTATAATTTCTATGATAATAAAATTTTAATTTTTAATTTTTTTTTTTTTTTCATTGACTCACTTATAACTAATCAGTAATATGCAGTATGTATGTATTTAAATACATTAAAATAAAATCAAGATAAAAAATAAAATTCATAAGTATGGTTTTTTCCCCATTTTACTTATAAGATTCATTCGGTTATAAGACTAATTTTGTGCTAGTCTTAAAAGGAGTCTTATAAGCAGCGTTTACTGTATACATTAAAAAAAATAAAAAAAAAAAAATAAAATAAGTTTATCTATTTTATGTTTATATTAAATGATTTAAGTTTCATTTAATTTAATTTGTTTGTTTGAATGCTAATAAGTAATAACAATTAAATATTATAAAATTAAGATAACTTTTATTTAATTAAGTATAGTTATTGTACAATGGTAGGTTTTGTAATACTTGAATATGTGTTAGATATATTTATGAATACCTAAACGTACATTTAATTTTGAATTACGTTTTTTGAATGCATTGAGTACACAGTAAGTTTAATTCTATAAATATATGGTTGTATATATATTTTTAATTACAGCAGTTTTATATATTTTGATTATAATTTGTTTCTGAACAAAATAAATATAATAACTTCCGAATTCTATTATAACTTAAGTTCAATGTAGAGCGATGGAAACAAAATAAATTAACATTATTTTTACTTATTTTCGACCCCCACAGTAATATTTTCTTGTTGCGTTAAAAAATTTCATTAAAACTGCTAATCTTTACACTTGGTTTATTCACTACTTTAGCGAACGAAGAAAACGATTTGGTAAAAAGAATATTATTATTAGTTCTTCTGATAGGTTTATTTTTTTCATTCTTAGTTTACTAATATATCATAAATTGTGAATAAAATGTAATTTTCAATAAAAATAGTACTTCAGAAAAAAATATTTACCTACAGACCAATGAACAGGAACGTTATGATGCATAGAATTGTATTAACACGATTAATAATACAATATTTCTGCTAAAATCAAAAAAAAAAAAAAAATAATTATAATATTAAAATCGTTAACATTTATTTTTGTTTATTAGATGGGATATTTGGATGTAGTTATACCACCTGATATTATTTACGAAGACACTTCGGGAGATGTAATGGTACCTGAAGGAGGAACTGTGAAGTTAACATGTAGAGCCAAAGGCTACCCAAAACCACATGTTTTGTGGAGAAGAGAAGATGGACGAGAAATAGTTATTAAAGACGCCAGTAGCACTAAAACTAAAGGTTGGTCGAAATGTTATATATTTTTTTTTTTTTAAGGATTTTGTCTATAAATTTATACAATTACTAAGATAACTTAGATATTCATTTATTTTATGCATAAAAAAATTAAGTTTGTGACAAGCTAACATCATTTGTTTAATATTTATGCTAAAAAATCACATTACTATTAGAATATTAAGAAAAAAAACAACGAATTTTTAATAATTCAATAATTTGATTAATAAAAAGTTGAAAACACAAATAATATCTAGCTGTACGTATAATACAATCTTGGTTATTCTATTGTGAATACTTATTGAATAGAATTCGTTCATACAATTTATATATATATATTATTTTATAATAATACATGGTAACCAAGAATTAATTTTTTTTTTTTTTAAATTCTTAAATAATTTAAAATTAAAATAGAGTGTATGACGTTTAGAAAAGTTAAGTATAATAACAGTAGATAGTACTGATAACATTAGTTAAAATTATCGTGAAATTTAATTAAGGAATATAAAATTGAATATTTTATACCTCTAGGGAGAGAGAAAGAGAGAAAGTGTGTGAGACAGAATAAGAAGTGTACCTATAAGAAGACATTCAACTCTATAAGGATTATAATTTATGTATGTATTGTCATTCAAACTCTCTCCCAAAACCACTTTTAAGTTTATATACGGGATAAATTTATATATTACCATTGTAAATTTATTTCTTTGATTGAAATATTTACCTATTTTGTTGACAGTTTTATCAATTTCAAACTAGAAGTTGATTTAATTTAGAAATCCTGCGTTGTTACTAAAACTAATTGATTCGTGCAATATACGCGATTCCATTATCGATAAATATTATAATTTAATTCAATAGATCACACCCTCTCTACTTCGCATAGCATGATATTTTTTAAGCTTGTGTAAAACTATCATTTTTATAATTTAGTATTAACACATTAAACTATTTAAATTTGTATATCTTGTATTGTTTTTAATTTTATATAAATATCACGTAATTTATAAAAAGCATATTTTAACTTACGTAGAATATAGATTTGACTTTATATTCTTTGATTCGATCGTTCAGATTTATGATATACTCTTTTTTCAACGTAACGTACGTATAATTAAAAACTCACTAACCCTTATAATTTTATAATGATACGTACATATCTTTTAATTTTAGATTCGGAAAAGAGCAATACCTATTTCATGGGGTTACTGACATTTAGATTTAGATTATATTTTGAATTTAATATTAATTGTATTAGTATGTGAAAGTCAAAAACTATATTAACATTACACAAACAACCGTTATTGATTTAAACAAAAAAGCTGTTTGGAGAAGTTAATGAACTAATATATATATATATATATATATATATATATATATAACTTGTCAACAAAATGCATTTTCCATACTTGCAAACTTTTTTTATTAAAATTATTTTATTTTGTATGAATTTATTTTTAAAATTTAATTTTGTTTATACTTTCCGTGCATATATTAATTATAGGTTATTGATTATGAATACGATTCGTATGAAACTCAATTAATGGGTTTTATAGTTTGTCAATTATATTTCAACTAGTGAACTGAACATAATATTCCAAGTTCAACGGCCTCGTCTGTTCTATTTGAATTTCAATAATCGGAAGTATGTGCTATTACGAAATAAAATTAAGAGGAAAAATTAATTATGATAGTGATTTTTTGTTAAACTCTAATGGATGAACTTAGCGTTCCGTCGAATCAGTTATGTCAAACTCTTCGACTAATAAGCTAGTTGTTACCTGCCGCTGTGCAGTCGTCTCTGTTGTTCCTGTCAAAAACGTATGTTTTTGCGAATGGCAGTTGCTCCTTGACGTGATCACAATAGTTCTATTGTCATTATACTTCGTAGACACCAGACATGCTCCGCTCTTCTCCCAACATCTAAAATAAAAATAAAATAATAATAATAAAAAACTATGTTTTGAAACTCTAGTTTGAAAATGAATGTGAACGAAAAAAATATTAATAAGAAGAAAATAATCGATCCTTCTTAGTCTCAGTTTTGAACTTCAGATAAAAGTTTCTTCCGTCCCTCGTTTTACACTTTAAAGACTTATTGAAATACATAGAAACAAAAAAATATATCGCCAGTTGGCAAAAACAATGGAATTCGATGCAACCGAGATAGGGTAAAAGTATGGATTAGATGGTTTGGATGATTCTTTTAACCCTCGCCAGAGTTTGGGAGTGGGAAAAATAAAAACAAAAAATAACTCAATGTCATCGTTAACATTTCTTGTGAATATATATATATTAGTTTTTTAACTTCCTCTCGATCTTAATCGAACCCACAACGTCTTATTGTTATCCGGAATCTTTACGGAACACGCAACGGAATAATACTAGGCACTTTAAAAAATACCAAATTTCATATTCTTGGACTGTTTTTCAAATTGAAAAGGACGCTTTCTTAAGATAAGACGTTAAAATATTATCAATAAAACAATGATCAAAATAAATTACGAGGACCTATATATTGTAATTATATATATATTATATTTCACTTGTTCCTTTTTTGTGTACGACGTTTTATGGTACTCGTGTAATGAATAAGTGTACTAGTTTCAATAATAATTAATTTCTATTTTTAATCGTATTTAATATATTATTAAAAAAAAATTAAAAAAAAAAAAAAAAAAAAACAATGAGTATTTTAAACTTTTTTATTTGAATATAGCATTTAATTTTATATCATGCAATTCTGCTTAAATAAATGGAACATTGTTTTCTTTTTCAAGCATTTCTTCTGATAATGTACCCGAGTTGTATAAATAAAAACTAGATACGTATAAATAAAATTTCAAACAGGAATTGTTTAGGTACATAATCAATGTATACATAAGTTAAACTTAACAAACATACCAATGACGTTAACAGTTTATAATTGTCAGAATACTTGTTACTTAACAAGAAAAACTAAAAATTTCCGTTGTCTACAATTGGATACTGAAAAACGAAAACTATACCTAGATATTGTATAACAATTTTCGAGAGATGTTCCCAATTTAAAAGACAGATTCAGTTTTACCTAAATATAATGAGCATTGTACACAATGGCTATATTATTCACATTGGCGGTAATATTTATAAATAAATGTGTTTCATCACTTATTAATTGTTTCTAAATATCAATACTAGGAATATAAATGTATTTTCATACTTGTTCAAATAGACTCTAATCCTTTAAATGTCTGAATAGAAAAACTTAATACCAATTAGAACATTATCATATAAGTCTAGTCGGCCGCTTAATTTAAAACTTCATATATGGTTACTTAAGACATTTTTTGACTATAATTATTATTACGATATGGATTTTTGTAAATGTTTGATTCACTATCATAAATGAAAGTCGGGTTAGTTCAAATAAATAAATTACAGTTAAATAAAAGAGAACCTGCTGTGTTTGATTTGTATTTCTATCCATTTCTATGATGTATTATAGTTGTTGTTTGTTGTTATTAATTTAGTTTTAGTTTTTTTCTAATACAAATTAGTTAATATTATTATTAGTTTTATAAAATTTTAACGTCAACAGTAACATATTATGTAAACACAATTATTATGTACTATAGGTATCCTTCTACTAAAATTATGTTTTGTAGGTTATTCTAATAAAGATCGACATATAACATATAACACACCCATTTAAAAATTAACTGTTGTCTGATTCTCTGTATTCTTTTACAAATAAACGAAATCAACATAAATTATTATTATATCTAAATTTAAAATTATCTTTGATTGTAATACTTGTACGACTAGTTTACTCAAAGAAATATTTCAACGCATTGAATAACCAAATAAACTACAAATATGTTTTGTGTATCAATTATTTTTCAATTACAAAACTTCTATTTTCAATTTTCATCTGTAGGTTTATACAACCATTTCAATGCTTCTGTGTTTTCTGAAAATAGGTTGTTGGTTAAACAACGGTATTATTTACAATTAATTGTAATGAAACCAAAAACAATTTATTCAGGGTTTACAATTATTGTTTTACTCCTAATGAACATTCTTCAACCCTCTTTAATGGATGAAGTTAGCTCTTTAATGTTTAAAAGTTGATATAATTTATCTTAGTATTCTACAATGGCGAATGACTGAATGAAAACAAGTAAAATTATTACCAATAAAACTTTGTTTGCATTCTCTAGTCGAGTTTTTATGTAAGAATAAAAGAAAATGCTGTTCACCAATACATAAGACATAATTTCATTCATATTTCTTAGATCTAAGATGTTCACTGCTTTATATTATATCACCGGAGCATTAACGTAAAGTTATATTATGTATGAAAATTTCAAAATTTGACGTATAGGTTAGTAAAAAGTTTTCATTGAAAAACTTTGCCTTTTCACAAGGAAAAATGACTTTATTCCCATCATTTTTTTTTTTTAAATTAAACATGGCAAATGAAATTCAATCGATTTATTTCCTAATAATGCGCATAATATATTAGTATACTATTATAACTCATAAGATTTTTCTTGTAATTTACTAAATAATTATTTTGATATAAAAACATTATTTGAAACGTTATGTATATTTGGTATTTATTATCGAATATATTTAAATTAAATGTATACATATTTATAATACTAGAAGAATTTGCCATTGCTTATTCCATTTTCAAGCCTCCTAAAATGTTTTGTTTTAAATACTTATTTATAGTTTTTTTTTTTTTGTTGTCTAATCAATTATAATATATTTATATGCACTGATATATAAAATATTTAATACTTTTTATTTAATAGATAGATCTTATTAAATTTATTTATTTCTAAATGCACACATACATACAAGTAGTTATACCAGAAGTATAAGAATAAGGTTAATTATTAAAAATTTAGTTATTATATCATTAATTCATAATTATTATATTATAATAAAATTTTAATTAGATAGATTTTTTTTAGCATACTTATAATGTATTAGGTTATTATTGCATGCAATAGTTTTGATTTTTATAACATTATATGCATTTCTAAATTGTTGAAGTAAAATAATTTTTGATTTTTAAATAATAAATTGTTTTAATCATGATTGTTGTAAAAATAAATTATAATATGTACTTAGGATCTACATATTTAATCAATATTTTATTTCATAATCGAAAAATGTTCATAAAAAATAAATTAAAAAATAATCTTGTAATTATATTAATATACGTAAATATCTTTCTTTAACATACATACATATATACATATATATATATATATATATATATATATATATATATAAATTTACATATTGTGATAAATGCACAATATAAAATTATTATTTCTATCTGTTAATAGTTTTTATGTCATTGAGAAAAAATTATTTAATACGAATATACGATAAACATTACGATTATATACTTTAACAAAGCTGGTTTGATTATTCCTCATGACTTTCATTGGCTGTACTACTAAAACTAAAGTAAAACTAAGCAGTTTTTATCTATTCAAATAATTTATTATATTAATAAACATAACGAAAATTAATTTAACTATTTTAATTTTTTAACGCTTATAATCAATATTAAATATGAACTCAATTTGAATTTATATATATATTTAATTTAATAATTTTAATTTACTTTTAAATTTATCAAATTAATTGCATTTTTAAGTATTTATAAAAAAAATAAGCTTAGCGGGCTAAGCTAACATATTAGTTCTGTAATTCAATTTAGTGCAGTTTTTAAATTTATAAATTATATATTATTTTAAAATTTGGAAACATAAATATTATATATTACTTAGCTATCTAACTTATCTAATAATAAAATTGGTAACTATTTATTAATTATTTATGATCTATGTTTTATTTTTATTTTTCTACTTCATGTTCATAATTGTTTAATCTGTTTATAAATTTATAATCATATAATATTTTATCATTTATTAACCAATTTCATACCCTTAATTGTTAATTGTATTTATAGACAAAATATATTCTTAAGCCATGTTATATAAATTCCGCATTGAAACCAAATGTCGTAAGTATTGTGAACCGTTATCATAACTGCATCTCACCTGTTGAGAATATAATATAGTGTATGCGGTTCAAGAAAACAGGTTAAGAAAAATAAACAATTGTAGATGGGACAGATGGGTATAATATAAGGAGTGGTAGTGGTAAGAATAACTAAAAGTAAAAACGAAGTACATAGCAGTAGCGAGCTTTGGGATCAAAAGATTATCATATTTGCTTTAATACAATTTTTATGAAAATACATTTAATTATGTTGATGGCTTTAATTTAAATGACCTGAGAAGACCATCACCACCACCACCACCACCACTACTACTACTACTACTACTTACTACTAATACTATTATTAGTAATATGACTGTAAAAACTACTATTGATATGAATCAATGTAAATAATATAACGGTAAATTGGAAAACCTGCGAAGGAAACCAGAGATACGGACTAGGAGAACAGTTGATTTGCAAACGAACGGGGGTATCTTGGGAATGTAAGCAGCTTAATTAAAACTAATACCCGGGAAATAACAAAAACTGTGGACGTGGGATAGGTAATTTTAATGGGTTTCACGGTTCAATAATCTTAACCAAACTCCTTTCAAAAAGTTATCCATAGTCTCTCTCACAAACACACACACACACACACACACACACATATATATATATATATATATATAATTATATAAACACGCATGTACATTGTACATGTATTATTCGAAGCTAACTCCGTTGTCGACTCGTTTCGATTATATCCAATAATTTAATATTATTATCCGGTCTATGAAACGTTTTGTGGGGTTAAAGATCTGAAAATTATATTATTGTAGATTTGTATAAACTATAAAGCATTATAATTCTTGATAGATCGCATTAAAATTTCAATTTAATTATCTTTTTACCGTCGTTGTTTAATTTGACATACATTCATGTGAATAAAATCTATGTGTTGGAGTAACTAATTTAATTATCTATCGTCTTCATCATAACTATTAATTATTATTAAAATGAGTTATTAGCTTTCACATATTACACTGTTAATTAATGCGTTTAATCAATATAGTCAAATCATGCAACACAAACAATCTGCACTAAAGAATATTATGAATAGTATGACTATAATTACAAAGTGGTCTATTCATTTTCAACTTATTATTAATTTTGAACTAAACATTTGCATTATTTTAAAATTATAATAAAATAAACACGTACATATTATATCATATAAATAATTTAGGTATATACATTTAATATATTAAAGGTTAATAATATATTAATCGAGTAAAAACTTAGAACTGTGATCTCTTTTTACCTTATTATTACGGTACTTTTTTGTTTAACTCTTTTTAAAATACTTTTAATCATTGATACAAATGTATATGTAACAACGGATTTAGATTTGAAATACAATGAAGACCTTCAGTCTATGTTTGAATTGAATGCATATCAAATAAACCATTTTGAAGAAAGCAATCGTTGTTTATTATTGTTTTGAAATCCTCTTTAAAATCTGATCAAAATATATCAAAAATTTGAAAACAATATTAACCATGTATCTTAGTTTTACATAAAATCATTTGAAACGTTAGATAAAACGATTTTAAACTATATATTACTGTATTTATCTACATTAATGTTGTATAAATTATACGATCGTGAGCCATAATTCATAGGTAATAAAAATGCCTAGATAATACGTAACACAAATACTGTCACAATCTGTACGATTTTATATCATTATCCAACAAATATACCTACCATTATTAAATTCTAAATAATATTTAAAAAATCAAAAGAATAATATGTAACTAAGAAATGTATTATTTAAATTAATTAAAAAAAAATCTTTTACTTGAAATTAAAAAACAATATAATGGCGTACATAAATAGTTATTTTAATGAATAAATATTGTAGGTATTGGTAATGATTACTATTGCTACAATAATAAAATATACCTAGATATAGACTTGGAAAATAATAAATCGTGTTAATATTATTATGATACATGATATTAATTTAAGATTTTAATAAGTATTAATAGTTATTAACGTTATTGTTTTAAATTTTACTGGCGGAAAAATCATTGATTTATATTAAATTAATGGGTTTTTTTTTCTAATAAATCTAAATACAAATAAAATATAAAATATAGGTTTTGACAATAGTTTTACAGTAAACGCCAAATTATTTATTTGAAAATATCTGTAAAATTCCTTTATGCCATATAAATCGTAATAATTTGGAGAAATAAAAAGACTTTGACACAAAAAAGATGACGATACAGAGTAATATTATTGTTTTTTTCAACAATCAAATATCAATATCAGTCGATTCAGCTTGTAATCAAAGATCAAAATGGATTATTTGATTTATTGTAAACATTTGTAAGCAGCTTAACAGTTTTGTAACAGGTTTTTCCACTCTCGGAAATCAAATCTATTTTTTGAAATATTTCCTAAAAATAAAAATAAAATAATTTACTTTTTTTTGGGTGTCAGATTTCCTTTGTTTTCAAAATGTACATGAAAGTGAGTGAGAGTGAAAATAAAATCATATTTATTTAAGCTAACAAAAAACTATAGAACAGATGAAAATGGGTTCTTTTCATCTCAATGCATCAAAAGATAAAATAATGGATTTTATTCATCTATTATCATGCTATACCGGTTTTTATCAAAAATAAATTGTGGACTTCGAGTTTTGTCTAAACTATAACTGTTAAGTCTTTGATGTTAAATAAATCGTTTAAAAATGGTACAGGAAATATTTGTATTATTTTAAGGAAATTTGATTTGAATTTTGTAGAGTTGATCACAAAGAGTGCACATAACTTACAACATTATATCAAATTTATCTTTAAGAATTACATCAAAATTTCTTCCATACATTTTGTTTAATAGCTATAGAAATAATATACATAAAATTTTGTTTTTAAAATGTAAAATAATAGAAATTGATTTTTTTTTAAATTTATTTTAAATTTATAACTGTTTTTTTTGTTGTTGTTGGTTAATACCTACTCGTATCAAAATATTTTCATTCCTCCATTATGTCATGTTTAATTTATTGTTTTATCTACTTAAACCATGATAAATGTACTGTGACCTACACATATATAATATTTAAACAGTATACAGAAGCCGCTATTACATTATTTAAATGCGTTTTAGTTACCACGTACCAGGGTGAAATGTTGCGGCTGACCAAGGTCAGTAGATCCGAGATGGGAGCTTACCTGTGTATTGGGTCAAACGGAGTGCCACCTTCTGTTAGCAAACGAATCACGGTCAGCGTTCACTGTAAGTATAATATGGGTAATTGTTGTTGAGTTATGGATAAACGTACTTTTGTAAATCAATCATATGAAAATTAAATATCGACTACTGGATAAGTATAAATGGTCATATTCGATAAAAGTGTTTGAAAATAGTTATCGAAGACTGTAGCTCATTCGGCCAGGGGACCAAGGGACCCATCGCACCATTCCATTTTCTACAACGAGCATTCCTTATTGGAAGGGTGACAACACCGACAACTGTGTAATAACTGTAAAAACGCTAAACACAACCGGACTCTCCTCCATCCAACTACCAAACGAGTGTACATAGTTCAATTTAATTGGGATAAGCAAATGGAAAAAAAAAAAAAATAACAAAACATTTGTTCGCGAGAAATTGTATACAAGTGCTGCAGGCGTACGGTTTTCGATGCACTTCTCGTCCACGGGCGGTGGAATGGGTAGGCGGGACCTCGCAGGGACGTTGAATTAATGACGCAGACTGGCCACCGCAAGTCACTATACATATATATAAACACTATTTATTGTATACACTATACACACACGCGCAACCCGCCCACAGTCTTCGAAGCGCGTACAATGCGTATATTTTAAGAAACCGCCCCTTCCCTACAGTGATTGAGAATAAGAAGTCGGATGTTGTGTGGTACAATTAGAAAGTTTATACGAGATCTCGTTAAGTATAATATGGACCCGTACCACCGACCAGATAACAGCGCGGGACAAAATTAAAATGAATACCCATCGAGAGAGATTCAGACGATTTATTATTTCCTCGTCGACTTACGAAAAATAAAATTATCGTGCACATGCACATTTAGTCGCATTATGGATGGGTTTCCGGGTTTTCGGGTTTCACCCCTCATCTTTATTGGTGTAATGTCACTGAAAAAAACACCGCACTAGGTTTTAGAAGGTGGTTAAGACGTAAATAAATTGTGAGAATAAATTCAAAGTATAATTAATTTACTTCCGTTGAAATTCAATCATGTTTTCGCATATTTCCAAATGTTCATCGTATATTTTGGGTGTTGGTCGTGCAAATACCAAATTACGTTTTGAATTACAAATCGCTGATTAGTATTAAACTCACTTCGAAATTAATTTCAATACTTCAATATTATACCAACAGACACGTTTTATAAACAAATAATACATAATATTATTGTTAATTGGTTTATTTATATTATGTAATCTAAATAAAATTGTACTTGGGGTAGTTCTACACGAAGACCAATAATTGTCAGTTGTCTGTCGAATGTGATCAAGTTGAGTTAATACAATTTTCAAAACCTCTGAATTCAATTTAAACTTTTACAAAACATTTAAAGTGCATTTTAAATTTTAGTTAAACATTTAATTATAGTATAATATTAACTGTATTTATTAATTTAATCAAATCAAAAATCGCTAAGAATGAGGAAATATGAAAATACATTTTCACGTTGAACTTTCTCTAAACTTTAATCAATATTTATGTTTTTATTAAACTAAACACAATTTAAATTTCATAATAAAGTATTATTTATAAAATTTATTTTTAAATTGATTGAAATAAAAACAAATTCTCTGAAGAATTTCATTACCGGATAACTTTTCTCATCATATTTTCATATGTTTTTTTTTTTTTTTTATGTAAATTATTGTTAATTGTATTTCTATCACATTTCATTTACTTGTTTTGTTGTGTTTAAAGAAATACAGACTGTACATTTTTCTTTGGAAAAAATAGATATAATATATATATATATATAAATAAATAAAACAAATAAAAATAGTTTAAAATAATGTGAAAATAAATTAAATAACATATAGTTAATTTTGAAGAACTTTATGTACAAATGTAATACATGAACGCCAATATATATATATATATAAATGTAATCCATTAGTCATTACTTACAAAATAAACACATTATATTTTTCATCAAAATATTGTATATAATAATTTTGGTTGTAACTTGTAGTTACAAGAATCATTATAATTTAAAATTATATTGAACCAAATTTTGGAATATTTTCAACTAAACAATACTTAGAAAAAAAATCAATTATATTTTTCACATGGTTTATTTTTTAAATAAAAAACTCTATACTATCTTTAAAAAATAGCTTGGCAACATTAGCTACAAATATTCACTTCAACTGCCTACTCACAAGACTATGAACAGAAGAAAAATATTCCACAAATGTCGTACAATGTTTTATATAATTAAAATAATTTATTATATTTACACAACAATTTAAGACTATTCAAAGTCAGTTATGTTAAAATATAGCTGATACATGAGAAACTTTCAGATCCAAAACAAAAATTCTTTAGTGAAGTCAAGAACATAATATAGAAAGGTACTGAAAACTAGGGTTAAACTTTAAAAATATAAACAACAAAATTATAATAATTTCTCTTAGAGTTAAAACGCTTTGCATCACACCTAATCTATTTTGTGTTAGTAAAAAGTTCTTATTTCTGGTATTTGTGATCTTTGTGATTTATTTTTATTCTTACAAACTAATTTTATAATAATGAAATATAGATTTACACATGGTAATGATGGACATGATAATATTTCCAATACAATGCGATATAATACAATTTTCCTTTAAACTTTTATAGAAGTAAAACTAGCGATAAATATTAATTAATATCAGGAAATTAACTAATTAAGTTTTTATACATCATTTGTGTAGTATTTAAAAATATTTTTAATGTGTTTATAAAAAAAAACTATTTATTTTAATCCCTATGAAATTACCCAGGATTTGATTATTTATATAATTACAATAACTTTTTTATGATTTTAAAATAAATATTTAACACTTTCTAATAATTGAAGCGATTATTTCAGAAACCCGTTTAGTACAAATTTTAAAATTTCCAGTTTTCTGTAGAAAGCCGTCAATACCATTTAATAACGGGTTTCTGAACTAAATTCATTATTTGACCAAAAATTAAACAGCCATAGAGGTTCGATACTTAACGGGTTTTTGCACTAAACGAAGTGTTTTATTTCATAAAACAATAATCTGAACCTAACACATTTTTCATCATTTTGGCGTATGACGGTTTCTGAAATAATCGCTTCAATTTTAATACATACCTACCAGTCTTCTAAAAATCACCCTAGTCTTATGAATAATTCAATAACTATTTAAAATAATTTTTATTTTTTTATATTATTTCAGTTATTTTAAGTTAATTGTCGTGTTGTTAAACTGTTTTCATTTGAAATATTATATAACTAATAATTATACCCTATTGATTAACTACTACACTCATAGAGAGTGAGAGTGATAATTTGAGTTTCTCGAAAAAAATATCCAGTTGTGGAATAACAGTATAACACATACTCGAGAGAAAATGATGAACAAATCAAAAATGCATTATATTTTTTTTTCGTCTATACAATTGATAATTAAATAAACATATTATACATCATGATCTATTTAAATTACTTTTTATTGATATTTTATTATTTTTAGTTGAAAATACATTTAAATTTATATTTATTCGTCGTTTACGAAACGTATATTTGAGATACATAATATCTATGTTCATTGAACGGCGCGTTATATAGTTAATTTCGGTACACTGGAAAATAGGTTTCCCAATCGGCGTGGAACCCACCCTGTTATTAGTATGGAAATATTTCATTATAAATTTTTTTTTAATAATTCAAAAAAGTACGTGTTTATTAAAAATGTTGGGTATGAGGTAGATATTGAAGGATTGAAAGGGGTATAGAGTTTAGTCATAGTAAACAAATAACAAATAAAATATTCATTTAAAAAAAAAAATATATATATATAAGAATTGTGATTTACTATTCATTAATTTATTTCACAAAATTAATCATATTGATTTTCTAAATGTATAATATTTTTTAAAACTTATCATTTCAAAAAATAGTGGTGGGTTAAACAGATAGTTTGTACGTGCAAAAACTCGAAGACGATGGGTATAATTGTCATAATAACACAAACAGTCAGATATTCGCTTTTTAAATTAAGTTCGCACGTAGATCGCGAGAGATACGTGCTTACAGGGGTGAAGTATCGTAATTCTTAATCACATTAGTCCTGTGGGGTGTTCGCAGTTGGGTCAATTGATGGTGGTCTTCCGACAGAGTAGAAAACTTTTTCATGCCGTTAAACGTCATGCCTTGAGGGGGAAAATGATCGCGCACGTGCGACGACGACAACAAATACTCTCTGCGTTCCTCGGCGACTTTATGTTCCAAAAATCCGGGCTTTGTATCTCAAAAATCCGGGCTCTGTATTCCACTTACGCATCGTGCACGTAAAAAATATTTTCGGAGCTCGCTGTTTAATTGTTATCGCCCCTATGTACGACGTATATCTATGTGAGGTGGTGAAGATGAGTTCACCTCGCCTCCGACCGTCACTTGTTCGTCCGCTACTTAAGTCTTGTCGTCTTGTTGTTGTCAAAACGTGAATTTCACCCCCATCACACACGTCCCAGGAGACCATTGTTTGCTTGCAATGTTGTACCACCGAATATCTACACTAACTCTGAAGATCATTTAGAAGCGCGCGTGTTTCATCGTTGAAACTTAATCGTACGAGTTTCACATCATACTATATTTAGGTACCACTGCAATTATTGTTATCGATTCAATCTATGCACATTTCGATTTGGACAATGGAATCGATACGAAAATTACATCACGACTTTGTTACTTTGTTGGCGTATGTCAATTAAAGCACAAGCCTGCTTGACATCTTTATAAAACATCGATTTACGTGTACAGGTGTGCAAATGTGTGTGCTGTTCGCGGTTAATGTATTTTTAAATCAATCAGACTTACTTCACCTGATTAACATGTTAATCAAATTAAATTTTTTATATGTATGTATTTTTATTCAAATGTTCTTTCGCCTTATTGACTCATTCGGTTCATAAACTTAAATACTCTGGTCCTAAAGTTAACCAATAAGTGGCGATTACTTTGTGTATTTGTATAAATGGCAGTTTTTATTGTGGACAACAAGTGTGTAACGGTTATACACTTATTGTTCGTAATATTTTTGGTGAGGTTTTTTTTTTTTTCATGTTCTGTTTCTAAGCCATTAACCATATTATCACAATAAAGTTGTTACTGCATAAAACAAATAACAATATATATATATATATATATATATTATTAGCTCGTATAATATTATTATTTATGCATAAGTGAGCTTGTACATATATACGAGGCGGTGGCGTTTAGTCAGGTGGTCTATTACTACTTCCACCGACGTCGTTTTATTACGTTTTTGGAAGATATGCGCGGCGGGTCGTGCGTCACGTCCGTTATGAACAGTCTCGGTTTCACCAGCGCCCGCACGTCAGATATTTCATCCACTCCTTACCCGGACGTTTCTCATAGTCAAACACTCACAGTCATACACATATATAACTTAGTGTTTACAGTGTGTATGTGTGTATGTGTAGTGTGTGTAATACTGTGGTGTATATAATGTATATATATTATCTTTGCGGCGGTGGCGGCACGCAGCCGCAGCCGGACTATGCTTGTAAACGAGGTCCGGAGATCGGGCGAATTGATAAATTGCTGGCGAGACGCGCGAGAGACGTGAAGCACTTTCGCTTCGGTCTCGGTTTGGTTGCGAGGCACGCAGAGGACGAATAAGACTTTTAAGTCGTCCCCGTTCATCGCCACTCCACAATGTTAATAATTAAATGGTGCTATGTCAAATTACCGTATTAAACAAGCCACCATCATACATGAATAATTTATACCATTATTAAATTATATATTATATAACATAAAAACATAAGCATGCTCACTCGTCGGCGGGGTAATAAAAAATAATGTAAAATACACGTACACACATACATAACGACTTTAACCGACCCCATTGAGAGTCGTTTTCAAAGGAAATTCGAAAAATGTCTTCCTCAATAAAGTGTTATCACTGTCCGGTGCTCAATTGATTAATAATCCCACAATCTTGATCGACATTACTACTTTAAAATAAAATATAAGCAATAAGCTGTTCACTGATCAAAAACAGTTGTAAGCCAGCCATGTATATTACTACGAGTATAATAGGTCTGACCCTGTTATTTCAACGGTATTATCTATCTGTTGTCTTGACATTAAAACACTGGTTAATGTTATAGTGTATGATAATCTGATATTGTCAATTCAGTTTATTTATCGTTAAGGAAAACAATTTCAATATGTAATTTATATTGTACAATAACATCATATTACGTTATTGACATATTATTAAACACAATACAGTTACGTCATAACAGTTATTAATTAGCTTTGTTCTATTTACTCACAGAGCTATTCACAGAACTTTGTTACTATAATATAAATATAACTAAATAATAGTAATATGAACTAGTTATATTCTCTTTACTGCAGTACATTACTATTGTCAGTAAAAATATCAAAAATATTAATTAAAATATTAATTAAAATTTCGACGAAAGCATGAAATAAAAAAAGCTTAGAAACGAGATTTTTTGATATTTCTTATAGTAATAAATCATTTTTGTTGAAGTATTAGCTGTATAAAAATTACTGATGATAGAAGTATTATTTTTTTTTTTAAATTTAAAAACAGAATGCGCTTTATTATGTTGAAAAATATTCTTTGTCAACTCGTGGTCTTTTGGGATATATCCAATATCTGTACGATTACTTAAAGATTAAACATAAAATCTAACTATAAAGAGTGTTGTCGACAATGACCAACAGAATTTTTGGATTTTCATTTCGTAAGTAGAATAAACTATAATAGTACGGACCAATATAGTACCAATACCCCTTTTTATTTTTTCTGATAAAAAGTTATAGAAGTGCATTGAAGTAGTTTACGCCATAAACGGTAACTCCTTAATGCAAAGAAAAAAAAAATTCTCACACAAGAATCCACATTTTTAAAATATTAATATATATATATATATTGATAAATGGTATTATATCAGTTATTATTTTGAATTTTGTAATCTATTGTACTATGGTTGGAGTATGTAAAAATAGTTAATAGTTTTAAGCTTATATAGCGTTAGTATTTCATAGAACTTGTGTTTCTTTATTGTTTTGCTAAACATAAATTTTTATGAAAAAAAACTTAGTTAAAATATTGATAGACATATAATTTTTATTGTTCACATAAAAATAATAATCTTATATAGTAAATAAAATGATTACATCGGTCTTATTGCCATATTCTAAGTATGTAATTTGAAACGTGTTCATTGTCAGAATTATAGTTCTTTGTGTAATATTAGATTATATGTGTATCGCGAGATTAACAATTTATCCATATTAGTAAAAATTGTAAATATAGTTAAAATATAAGTGATATCCATTATTTATCGAACTCCTAGGGTTTTTTTTTTCATAAATGTAATTAAATTTAAAAAATAAATATTTTCATTTCAAGTAGTTATTGTAAAAGTTTATATTTTCTTTTAGAAATTATATGTATTATAGTTATGTTTTAATCTGTTAAACATTTGTTAAGTTTTTTTTTTATATACATTAAATACCTATAAACTATAAACTTTACCGAGGTTATTATATATGTTTTAAATTTCCTTAACCTTTCACTATTAAGTATAGTGAGCGTACGCGGATTTCGTTATTGACTTTTTTTCATAAATAGTTTAAAAGGTTCCATGAATTGTCCTAAAATATTATCTTTAATTTCAATCACTTAAAGAAAAAAATAAAAATAAATTGTAATATTATATTAACGATTTTTATTTTTTCAAGAAAAATTTTCAAGTAATTTTGAATTCAGTTTTTGAAATTTTTTAATTTTTTAATTTTATTTAACTTAAATCGAAAAAATTAAAAATGTTTCAACTATTAACAACAACCATAGAAAAAGGTTAAATATTTTGAAAAAGAATATATTTCCAACATAAATATTGGTACAAAATTTAATTCACCACAATTATTTATTTAAAAAAAGTTTTACATGATTACTAATTTATAAAATTTTACAATTATTTTAATTTTTTAATTTTTGATTATTTTTATTTTTTTTTAAAAATTTTTATTTAATAAAATGCTAAACAAATTTTTATTTATTTTACTACTAAAAACCCACCCATAGAGTTAAAGATTGAATCATTCTTATTGTTCCTAAAACAATGTAAAAAATACACACGTGCTCTCAGAATCTAAATCTGAAACCGTCATTGCTTATAGGTGCCTGACTATGCGTTTTGAGATAGCTGTACTCGTATTATTAAAGTTATTAAAAATTCGTAAAACTGATTTTGATTAAATAGTTGACACTGCGTGTAGACAACAAAAGGATAAACGTCAAGGGAAAACTTTGTAAAATCTTTTTAAATTTACCATAATAGCTCTATTAAAACCTTAAAGAGATAAAAGTTATAATGCTGTTTGTCGGAAACTTTTGGAGTTTCGTTAGATCGACAAAAACTTCAAATTAAACACCGTTTTTACCCGTAATATACAGCCGTCATGTGCTCACAAAACTAATTTTGAGAAAATAATATTTTGCTAAAATATATATATATACATATTACCATGCATTATATTTAAACATTCTTCTTCTCTTTGATGGTATCCTTAAATTATTTGTGTTGTTTTTATTTTATTTTCTTAACCCTGTAATCGAGATTTGCGGACTACCTAGATTATTTTTTGCTTTTGTTTAATCCGTGGTGTACGCATATTATAGAGTAGGTAATATCATTTTAACGTTTTTATTTTTTTCATTCATTGCTTTTCAAGTTGACGCGTAGTGTGCATACTTATGTATATACTTTTGTTATTTCACCACCACTCCCTTCGGTTCACTCTAATTTATTCTCTGTCCCGATACGACGTCGACGACGACCTTCATTACTGTTTAATCGGTACCGCCGAACAAAGTTTCGCTCGCGAGGTTAATATACAGTGTGGGTAGGGAGTAAGTCAATCGAAAATCCAAAAAGTTTCATACCGCGGCGATTTTCTCCACGCGTGTGCTAAAACTTTATCGCCCCGTAATCTTGCTCAAATCTGGAGGTAGTTCAGAGAGGGTACAAGCAAGATGAATCTTTTGCTAGCGTGGTTGACGACGCACGAGTGTTTACGCATTATTATAGGTATACACGTCGTATAATATTATATTAAATCTCTACATATACGTATATAACACGCTTGCGCCTTACCATGTACATGTATACTCGTATTATACGCATCCGGTTGACAATCGTCGGCAAAACAGGAAAAAGACGGCGGCGGAAATGGGATTTATTTTACACCGCCATTGAACTGGGACTTACCCGCGGCCAAATAATTAATTCATCCAAATTATTCGACCTGCGGAATTTATCGTTGCAAATTTCATAAAATATTATAATTTGGTCGGAACACACCCGACCGTGTCTTCGTAATCGGTACTCATAGAGATATGATTATATACTATATTCACGGTACACATCATAACGTGTTAATACAAATATTAATTATACTATTGTACTCGCAGTAGAACTTTTTTTTTTAGTCACAGAACGTTGATTTTTAATTTACACAATTTTAGTACGTTAACATATTATAGTACACGAAATTAGTATGAAATACTAAATTATATTTATGAACCATTTAATTAACATTTTATTTTAATATGTATAGTACTTTTGTTAAACTATAGATTTCAAAGCATAGAGCGTAATAAATTGATATTTTTATTTTGTATTTTATAGTCCATCCAGTGATTTCTTCGCCAAGTCAATTGGTTGGTGCTCCAAAAGGCACTGATGTCAAGTTAGAATGTAACGTTGAAGCATCCCCAAAGTCTATAAATTACTGGGTCCGAGAGGGTGGTAAGTAATTTTAATTATATCAATCGAATTTATATTTATTATAATTATTTTTTCAATATACTTAGTACGGTTATGTCAGTTTATATTGAACGCATAATACATCGTTAAATTATAACGTTTTACGATATGCTAATTGAAACCGAAAAACAAATTGCATCTCGTGAATCGGTTTGAAAAAGCCAAATTAATTGATTACATTGGTTTTTGGCATAATCCTTGGGGTCTTAATCTGGGTTCAAAAAAGCCGCGATTTGCAAAACGTTCTAGCTATAAGGTCTACGCTGTCCCATTCGTATTATAATAACGGAGATAGCTTTCAAATAAATTGAAGGAACTTTGTGAATGTTTCCATTCTCAAAATTAAAAATAATCCTTATGGACACTAAATTAAACGCAAATTGAATGTACAAAACTATCTCGAATAATGTTTATGCGTATTTATACCTTGGTGAATAAATGTAATAAATATATGTTTGATATATTATGTGTTGAATACAAATTAAATTATTTTTGTTAAAAAAATAAAAAAAAAAAAATAATTAACTAGCTATATGTTTTTATTGTATAATCAATGAGTATGATTGCGTATTAAAAAATCATATTTATTTTACAAAAAATACATAATATACATTGCAGTATAATATATCAATACTTCAAGTGTTTCATTTTTAATATAGTTTTTAATAAGATCATTTAAATTACAAGATAAATTATTTGATTTTTGTATTTAAATGGTATTTTTTTATTGTTTGTTTTTTTAATTAATTTACTGCATTATGATTTTTTGAGTAAATCATTTTTGTTTATATTATCTCTTGTATATAACGAATAGACGTTAAGACGCTAAATAAAAATTAATATTTTAATGATTCTAGAAACATTGACTATTTTACTTGAAACAAACTTATAGATGGTACATAAAACATAACTTTATTTTCAATACTAAAAATTACATTTATAATTAATAATTTATTTAAAATCACGTTATGTCAAAAATAAAAAAAAAACATATTTACATTTGAAACTTTCCAAAATCTGTTAATAATATTGATTTAATGTAAAATATGCCTAACTTATTACATTAAATTTCACAGTTAAAATAGAAAACATAATGTATATTAATGTGCAAATATAATATCAGACTTTTAGAATCCAGATATAAATTAATTTGTTTGAGTAAATGACAAATACACATTTATATGAATGTTAATAACTAAATCGTGTCAAAACCGTTACGTTGACATATAAACAACATATATTCAATAAACATCATTAAAATATTGTTAAATTGAAGTAATATTTTTGTTGTTATTTTAAATTAGTGGTAAGCAATTAATAATAAATATTTAATGCGGGAATAATTAAAATATATTATTTTATTCCGCAACTGTAAATTTAAAGTTATAAATTATAATTTTTTTTTCGTGTTTTAATAACAGTTTAACTGCATTTAAACATAATAAAAAAAAAAGTTTTTGTGCCAATATTATGCTAATAAAATGGAATTTTGAATTGTTTTAATTCGTGACATCCTCCGTTGGGAGTTCACTGCCGTATTAAAATTATGAATGCATTTTACAATGAATAAAAATCTCTATATATTACAATAACACAAAATATTTTTGGAATCGTTAGGGTCGCCGAAGGCTGGTGATTATAGATGTTTATAAGCCATTCAAGTAAAATATATTTTTATCGATTTACCTGTTTTTTCGCAGATTTGTTTTTACTTGTCGAGAAGGATAAGAGAGTGAATCCCGTAAAAAAATTGTGCAAATAAAAGAAAGTTAGTTTTAATTTTTATATTTATTTATTTATTATATATTTATTTGGCCGAGAAAGTGGTTAAGGGACTGGCAATGACAGCTTCTTGGCTAAAAACCAGTCCTCCTTCCTGGGATCATTTATGGCTTTGCCAAAATACCCTCGGTCATGTTTTTAATCGACCTCACACCACTGTAGGAATATTAAGTAAGCTCACGCCTGCCCGCCTGACTGTCCCTGTTTAATTATTAAAGCCAAGAATATAATATTAATATTTTTGTCGCTTCAGATTCAGTCAAGTTTGTGAGTGAAAGTTAGCGAGGGAGAGAAATACGTCGTTACTATACCAACTATACCGACTCTATTGTTTGTTCTTTTTATTTGCCATCCAACGTCTTTGCTCTCGTTTAGTAGTTTTATAACAATACCATAAAAACATAAAATACTCTAAAAGTCTAAAACGTCAATATTATGTTTTAATAAAAAAAACGTTCTGTGGTTTGTCGTCACTGAGTACACTTTGATTGTTGGTTTGTAATATACATAATTCAGTCTATAGGCATCTTTATGTACAATTGTATATATATCTACAACATGTCTCATAAGTTTCATTTTATCCTAATTATCTTGGTGATAAATTAAAATTATATTTAACTGCAATAATTTGTCATCAGCGATCCATAAAAATTGTACATCATTAAATTAAAAATTTCCTTATCGTTGAAAACTCGAAACATAAATATTGTAGTATTTTTTCATAGCTTCACTATGATCTACTTAGGGTGATACTGGTTTTTTATAACATACTGTGTTGATTAATATATATTTTTTAAAATACCTTATGGCTTATACCTACATATTATCTACACTTGATAATAAACTTGATAATATCTACACCTCTTAACGAGAATAATTTTAGGTAGTGTTATTTTCTATCATATATTTTAGTCTTAAAATTGAATATTACATTTGGTGATATTGTTCAGCCATGTATTCATTTTTTGTTTATCGATGTTACATCAACATCACAAAATCTGATGATACATTTTTGTTTACTATTATAGCCATCAAACATTGTTTTTTATTAAGGACTTATTTTATGGAACCTAATACAAATGCATTTCTTAATATAGATGATACTTGATTATTAGAATTATGGTGACTTTTACAATTTACACGAATTTCAAATCTGGTTATTTCTTGGCCATTATATCGTGAGTATATATCCGTTCTCTTTAAATAACTGAACCACAAGCGTATTCTTTGTGGAAAATAAAGTTCTGAACAATATTGGAAACCTTTAGAAATTGGCTTTTGGCCATAGACAATACAATACACGTATGCTATTTAGATAAGTTTGCGTACACCTATATGCAATATTATTATCTTATCTATAATATTATTATTTATATCCGACACACTAAAAAGAAAGTGTTGACTCGTATTCGCCCTTAGATTTATACTAAATATGTTGACATTTACTGTCATTCTAAATTAGTGGCGTGACATTTTTCCTTTAAAATATTATTTAATTTTAAATAGTTGATTATTGCAATTAACTGAAGTTAATAAATTATATTATATTATTTCACTGCAATGCAATATAATGCACTTAACATTAAACAATAATGAACATAATAGACTTTTTTTATGCAGTATCGATTTAAAATAGGTATTTAAATAATGTTTATAATAAACAATAAATATAATAAGGCAAATATGTTTTGAATTAATTTATTAATATATTAAAATTATTTAGATACTATAAATAATTAAATTAGTAATTTTAATATTTTAATTTTACAACTGTTTGCAATCAAATTCAAAGTTAAACTTTGTACAATGCTTAAAATCAATTTCAATGGTTTGTCAATAAACTTTACTATACATAATCTATTTATTAAGCTTATTAATTAATGTATTAACTAACTATTACTTCATTCACTATTGTTATTATTACTGTACTTGAAATTAATCTGTTAATTAAATTTAATAAATAAATACTGTTTTTATAACTATTATTGTAGTACTATTCATAACATAATTTAAAAATCAATTATATCTTATAAGATATATTTTTTTTTTTATTTTTCTTGTCAATAATTTTAATAAGAGTATGTCTGAAATAGTTACTTACATTCTGTATTCACTTAATGTTTAAAAATAGTTTTCTGTTGTTGTAAATATTTTAATAATTTAAAAATTTTAAAGTTTTGTTTTGTTTTTTTAAACATGATAACTTTACTGAATAATATATTATATATTATGTGTAGTCTTGTCAAATACATTTTTTAATATACTCTAAATCCCTACGCTTTCATTCATGTATTAATATTATAAAATTTATAAATACGCATCTGCACAACAAAAACGACAAACAATTGCGTGCCTACACACACACTTATACATACAGGCATACTTGACGTATTTATTAAAAACCTTTGTGCTTATTTATTTTGATATAGTCAATCTGGAAAAATTCTACAATTTGTCACAAATTAAATCAAATGACACGTATCCCACGAAGTTTACGAATACAACGCATATTACAACATACTATAGTGAGTGTTTGAAGGTATTCGATTCAATAAAATTCTAAACTCGAGTACCGAATTCCTAGAAGATTTTTTGTGATTAAAACTCATATTCTACACAGATAACTTGATATCAGGTATCATTCCTCATCATCACTTTGACGCATACATAATATAATATAATAGTATTTTATAATATGTGTGCAACACTATTTTTCCACGAGTCATCGATGGTGGAAAACGAAACGTGGTATATTCACTAATACCTGTCATAGATCCGAAAATAAAAGATGTTTTTTACCCTAGTTCGTAGACTTTGTGGCTCTTATCTGATGCACACGTGAGTTGTATGAATGTTGTGGCATTGAGGGTCCCCGTCACGCGTGGTATAATTCTAGTGCAGAAAAATTATGGACAAACGACTACGTAGTATCGTTGTACACGACAGACGATAAAACCCCCCCTGGGAATGTTTCTCGCATTTTCCTTTTACATCTGGTTTGGTTTCATTACAGTATAACGGTTTATAATAACGCACAATACGCCACATGGCTTTTGCGATATTCTGCACACATTTTCTATAATACATCGTCTTGGTACCTATATATGCATAGCTATTGTCACCACGATTTCCTTAAGAATTTCTTAAATACAATAAAAAAAAAAAAATATATAGTTTTATATTGAAAAAGCTCAAAAATTAAATACTTTAAACAGTTAATGCAAGCACGCGTATACAATGAGGGTAGCGGAAGAAAATTAATTAGGTGTTGTATTGATAATTCAGATTTCCACTCTTACAAAAGCCAATGATAATAATTAATTTATGCTGACAATATTTATTTTTTTAAATATTTTCAAAGAAAAAGTTTGACTTTAAACTAACTCGAATCAAATATATTGATTTTATGAAAATAAAAATTGTTGTGTTATATAGCTTATTATGTACACGAACGTAGTAATGTAACTATATTGCCTATACGATGCACCGTCTTCTCATTTTTATTAATAAAAAAGTTAGTGTGCGTCTGAAATTTGTAACACTCGCTCTTCGATATTAGTTGATCATCATTTAAACACTTAAATTTATCATCTCTATAATCAGAAATAACACCAAATCATTGTACTGTTTACATCGTGCTCTTATATTTTCTCTTACTTTGTCGTATGATAAATATTAAACATTGAACGTTATTAAACGTGTAAAAATAATTAAAATACAATGATATTATGATATTTTTCACCAAAGAGCAATTAATGATTATGTAATATTATGTAGGTGGCATGGTAATAACAAGTGACAAATATCAAACAAACAACACGCCCAAGTCTATATTCGAGGAACACATGGTATTGACCATAAAATCGGTAGAGAAGTACGACTTGGGATCATACATATGCATAGCTAAGAATTCTATCGGTGAAGTGGAAAATAGCATACGATTATACGGTAAGTGATCTTTAGCACCTGAAAATCAAAGTCTTTGTAAACCGCATGGAAAATGTGATAGTAAGAAATAAAAGCTAATAGCTGTCGGGCTATGAGCGGGTAGGTGGTAAAAGGGGGGGAGGCATGCGTTACTGTTTACTCTCGGAAACTTATCTGTTAGCGCGCTGAGATGATGAAATAAATAATTTTACTGCGTTACCGTATGAATAAGCGACTAACGTCCTATTGCATAAAAACTTTTAGGTCCGGCACCCCATTTAATCAAAAACCATATCAGTTACCATAATATATTATACGTGTCTTTTATGTTGTTTTTTAGACAAATAACACGATGTGATATTATAATTTGACCATGTTTCGTGTTCAGAACATTATTAAAAGTTTTAATATGACTAATAATATTGTGAAATTTTATTCAAGTTTCGTTACAAACATGACTTTCCGACTTTATGGAGCAATCCTCCGGAGGTGAACTGAAAGATTATACAGAGTGTAATAGAAAATTATATCTTCCGAATTCACCCTAAAGTAGTATTAGGATAATATAATGATTGAAAAATGCCAATAAAAGAAGAATAAGTCATAATATATAACCTAGGGTGACCAGACGTCCCGTTTAAAACGGGATTGTCCCGTTTTTGGTCATCATGTCCCGTTGTCCCGACAAACTTCGAACGGGACGCTTTTTATCCCGTTTTTAGAAGATGGTCCTGTTTTAATCCCGTTATTTCAATATTATTATATTATGTTTGTGAAAAAAATATCGATTTATGAAACAATTAATATAAAACAGTTTTACTCATATATATGTTTAAAATTAGAAACCAAATTTATAAATAACAGACACCATGTTCAGCTGTGCGACTATTTCGGTCGTCGTCGTCGTCTTATCGCACCGACCGACCAAACCACGCACACGCTACACAATTATTATTATTATTCCTTAAATATAAAAGTATGTGTACGCTGACAGTCGTCTGCTATTTTTGTTTTTCAATTATTACGAATACCCGTATTACGGTATCGATAACTGGACGACAAGCCTGTAGTCTTATGAATATTATAATTATATTGATTCGATTATTATTATTATTCTATTCTAATTCTATTATGTTCTTTATCGTTTTTACGTTGTCCGTCTTTTTCCGTCTTTTATAGGCATTACGCGTTTATCGCTAATAGTTGTTAGTTGACACTGTTCGCTGTTGATATTTGATCAATGAATTTCTTTCCGTAAACTCATTCTTTGGGGTGGGGAGGGGGGGTAGACGTTTCAGATGTCCCGTTTTTTTATTTTCTTAATATGGTCACCCTAATATAACCCATATTACGTGCTCCGAACTAAAAATTATTTTTATAGTGCATATTCCTTATACATTTCAGTTTAAATGAACTAAATTTCCTAGGATTCACCACAAGTTAGATAAATTGAATTGTATTAAAAACTTGTTTTGTGATATTTTAAAATATTATTATGTTATTTTCAATTATTTTATTAATTTATAAGTTAAATATGTTTATTTTTTTTTTTATTAATAATTACATCAAAAACTTGTTGTTGATTGGTTTTTAAATAATATCTACAAGATATCAATTTTCCGTAATTCCTACTGTTTCTAGTATTGTTGTCCATAAATATGATTATTTTCTAGTTCAACGATCTAAATTGCTTAGATATTTAATAAGAAAATTAAATTAAAATTTTTAAACGATTTGAATTTATTTTAACGTTTATCACTGTGGATAAATATCTATCTGAGTGAAGTGAATTAAATGACAGACGCAATTATGCTCTAATAAGCATTTCAGAAATATAATTTTGAACGCACTTGGACAATCAAAAAGTTACAGTTTTTAAAAAGGATCGTACTAAGGTGATGCCCAAATAAAAAAAAACTGATAATAATAATTAAATGACATGTAAACACATAATTATATTATTAGTTAGCTAATGTCGGTCAATTATATTAGTCAATTTTTCAACTGTTAAACTGTATTTTATATTAATTAATATATTTTTATTTCAAAAATTCTACAATTACGAGTTTGATACAATAAGCAAACTTATTTATTTATATTAAAAAAATGTTCGAAGCGTATGAAACGACTATATAGTGATTATATATCACGGTGAATTGAATGATATTATTATTAATTTAGTGTTGAGATTATTGTTATCTGAACCTTCTGGTAAAAAAAAGGAGAATAAATTTTATTAAGAGGTTATAAATTTGATGATTTTTGTAGTTTAGAAAGTAGTATATACACTGTATATTATACTGGATGGGCAACAGAAACAATTTTATTTAACTTATTATTCGATGGCATTTTTAAAATCTAAATTATACGTGGTGAATAAAATGAGTAGAAAAATACTTCATTTATCAGCCAATATTGTGCTACGAAAATAATCGGTTTTATTTTAAATATCGTTTAGGTTAGCCAATTTGCATAATATTTACTTACGTTTTAAGTCGTAAAAATCCATTTATTGTTTTTATTCACAGAGATACGGGGCCTAGACAACCACGGAGACGACGACGAATTCAGTGACCTATCGGATCGTTATCCGGAATTATACACGGAAACTCACAATTTTTCAGGCGGTAGTGGTGCAAGTGGAAGTAGTGGTGGTAGTAATGGTAAAATTAGTGGAAATGGAGAAGCTGACAACAGGAATCGGACCAAGCATAGGCACCACACGGACACATATTCACCCACACCCAGCCCAAGCGCATCCACCCGTTTGATCCCACCATTTTACCAGACTATTGAGTATCTCTGACACGTGGTTCCCGTCTGGTAAGCTCGCGATGAGCGTCTGCCAGACGAACGTGGCGCACGTGGTTCTTCCTAACCGGCGTTCGTCGACACTGATATGACTAAGCCGCGAGTACACTCTACTACCGCGTTGTTACCGTTTAGGACTAACGAAATCGCGATAATAACAAAATATATTATAACATTATTATAATAAACAATAAAAACCTGAGAAAAAAAATGATTATTTTAGGCCCATATTTCGCCTTTGAGTCCCATAATGTGTGAATACCTGTTAAACCTTTATCCTGACTACCTAAGTCTATAACTACCCATATATAATCGTTGACTTCCCATCTACTAAATTTAGTGCATTACCTGCAGAAATTATGTGACACTGTGCATGGTTAGATTATTTGAAAATCTATGCACTCAATGTCTAATTGGTTATCCTGAAAAACCATAATAAAAATTAGAATAATATGCATGTGAAGTGTGTTAAAGAAAAACCCAGATTAAAATTTGTATACATTTGGTACTTTTACAACGCAATTAGTAATTTATTTATATTAACATAAACAAGATAAAATTTTCTGTATGATGAAATTAAATTAAAATTTTTATCTCAAAACATTCATAAGAAGTATTGTTAAAATCGTAGTTATTTGATGAAACATAAATTAATACTCGCATAATAACTATACGATTCGTATGTATAACTTTCATTTGAAAATCGATAAAAAAAATGTCATGGGAAATGTTTAACTAATAAAGTTAGCTTTAAAAGATAGTTCTTTAAGTCGATCTTTAACTTTTTACTTACTTGAGTTTCTTGTGCCCCAAATTTTATAAAATCTCACTATATTTGCTTGACTTGGATTATCGTGACTTTTTATTATTCCCATGATGAAACTATATTCAAATTCTGGGGATTTGAAAAAGTTGATGTTGTCATTCGTAATGTGTTAATATGAATTAAACTTATAAATTTGTTGAAAAACTACTTTTGCAAAGAAATCGATAACCGTTAGAAGCAATGAATTGAAGCTAAAAGGCAATATTTTGAAGACACCCATTCAATCGATTGTAATTTTCAACCACAATGTATATTAATACATTTGTCTTGAGTATTTTTTTAGCACATTTTGTATGTAGTATAATTTCGGAAGATTATCGATCGGGTAGATTTAGAACGTTTTAATGTTTTAATTTTTATGCGTTTTTCCGAAACACTTTAAATATTGCTAATTCTACAACGTCTAACGTAGCGCCGTCTTTCGGTGTTTTTATTTTAATATTACAACAATAATGTAATTTAGGCGCCTATGTCTCGAGAGCCTTAATTTAATTATCCCGGTCTCTAGACTTCATGTTCCTCTTTCGCAGGTATGCATAACATAATATTATATAATAAGTTTAACAATTTGTTGTGATTACTCATTATTACGATAATTATTATAATAAAATTACTATTATTATTATTATTATTATTTTTATTATTATGTGTATTATATTATATTATTACATTAAATAGAATATATGAATACTTAAAGAGGAATAATTGATATACGATTGTTTAACAAGAAAATATAAGATTACAACATTTTCATAAATTTTGCATTGTTATTATTTTGGAGTGCTTATCTTTGCGGTTGACTAATAAAGAAATAAGTTTCTAATCAGCAGGATTCAAGATTACTCTGCTGTCGTTAAAGCTATACGAGTGGGTCTCAAGACAGATCATCAAACCGATCATCCATAAAATGTACAGTAAAATTAAAAATTTCTGCTAATGATGTTTACTATTCTATTCATTAAACATTTTTTGTTACACTCATTAAAACTAATGTTACTCATTGTATTATATATTATAGCCGTCTGTAAAACCGTTAACACCAAAACGCGTAAACGTGAACGATAGCCGTATTCAAGACTATATTCCGGTTTTATGACTTTGGCGCTTGTGTTTTTCTATATTATATTACAGCAAACACGATAAAAACCTTATTGGTTTTTAAATATTTTTATCATTATAATATATTAAACATCGTAGCCTACCGAATTTCAAATTAAAAGTATCAGGTCATTTCCACCATTTTGAGGTAAAATATTATATCATAATATTTTTGATTTATAAATATATATATATATATATATATATTAAATATTCTTTTAAATTTAAATTTAAAATTATAAAAAAATAAATATTTTATACCAATAACGAAAATAACAATCTGCAGACGAGGGCTAAATTATACATAGGATTAATTTCTCTAAATATTTATCATTTATGAAAATTAATACATATTTTAATTTTGATTGTTTATTTATTTGAATAATTAACATAACAATGCATTTAAATACAATAATAGTATATTTATACCTAAGCTACATTCTATAATATTAGATTTATTTTTATTTTGTTAAGGAGTTCAAACTTACTTAATAATATACGTTGCATAATAAATTGTTGATTTTTCATTTAAAAAATATAATATATCAAGTGAAAAGGACGAGAAATATTATTTTCCTCTCACTGTCAACTCTACAGTGCAATTTAACTCTATATAAAAAAAATACATTACTGTAGTAAAGATACATTTAACATTTTCGCATTTCTTTTAAATTGGACTTTTACAGATAACAATTTTCCCCAAAAGACCATTTCGAACCTATAGGAATCACCCAATGCAATTCTCTTTGAAAAATCTTGATTTTTCTTTCCCCCTCGTATTCTATAAACCTTATTATATAACTTGTTTGTTTCGATTTAATTGTGTTCACAATTTATTTTAAATCATTCCATCGTCTGTTATTGTTATAAATCATTCTTTTGTTTTTTAACAAATTTTATTTACACGAACCTACACCGAAGAAACTATCAATAATGCATCGAGTATTAATATCTAGAAGAAAATTATTGCTGATTTCGTAATTTGAAGATACTTACTTAAAATCAGAAATAGGTAAGTATACTAAAATTTGATCATTGTTACATCGCCTTATTCAATTTTAAAATATTCTAGTATTTTAAAAGTAATTTTTTCAGTTATAATAAATAAATTCGTGAATAAGTTTAATTTTTATTTATTAAAACAATACTGTGAAGAAAATCATTACACAGTGTAGTATTAAACAGAAATAAAAAAAAATCCAAAACAACTTTTTTTTTTTCAAAAGTCAAAACATTGAAATGTAAATTTAAAATTTATAAAACATGTCGACAACTTTATTTAATAGATATCACCGTAAGTTAATTTTGAAAAAAAAACATTGCTCACATTTTATTAATATTTATTATTAAATTTTTAATATGACTATTTAAGAAGAAATTTTAATAATAAATAATACATGTTAAGGAAATCTGTTTATTCTTATTATTTGTAAATATTTGAGTTTCATTTTTATTATTATTATTTTCAATTTTTACCGGATGACTGAAATTAGCTTTAGATAATTTAGTTTTTTTACCTTTAGTGAAATTGGAAAGATTTACTCGTCTACTCAATACACGTCAGTCGGAGATTTAAACTATATTCAACTTATATTAACAGCAATGCCAAAATGCTGTTCTTGTTATTGTTCTTATATATTGTTATATTGTTATTTGTTTTGTTATTGTTGTTATTATCAGTGTGAATTCGATGCATGAAAGAATATATCGGGATTCCATAAAATGCGCTTAACCCTCATAAATTCAGTCACAATCTGAGCTTACTGTTAAATGAGCTTTTCCAAAACGTACGACTTCAGAATTTCCATAAAACCAAATGAGCGATTACTGAGTGAAAGCATTGGAATTTTCAATTGGGTTGTCTGAAAAAGCTTTCCACATACGATTGCGAGTACATATTCAATTTAAAGCCTAAGTATGGGATATTATCTTCTAAAACATACAAACGTGATTCTCATATAAACACCACATTTAAAATGAATAATACTGATCTCTGAACTTTTGCCTGTCTCCGCCAAACTGTGCACGATCCACTAATACGCAGACGGTTGTTGTTGTTGTTTCTCATATAATATTATATAAAAATACACTTCAAACACTTTAAAATATAAAGTATTCGATTTATATTTACGCGAGCATATCGTGATATCACCTTATATATACATACAAAATACATATTTGTACATTGAATGTACCATAAAATATATACATTGTGCCCGCACAAAAATATTCCATTATCAAACAGAACGTGATCGTTTGTTTTATAAATCATCTTCATATACTATTTAAACGTAGACGTAAACTGTTGTTAAGAAATTCTTTGTTTGATTTATTGCTCGATGTATTATATGTAAATAGTTCACAGAATGAATGCTGTTGATGCGTTTAAATTAAAATGTGTTAATTGAATATACGCTACGTAATTAGGCTGCCATTATAAAGTATCAAAGGCTCGCATAAGAATTAATATTATCACAGCTCCATTATGTTACAACACAATTTCCTTTCAAAATGCTCATAACCAAGATGTCTTTGAAGTCGTTATAAAATTATGGAAATTGACCATAACGTCGTCAATGTTAGTGGAACGAACACGTTAAGTGATGTTTCCAAAAAAACTTAAAGTTGTCGAAAACTATTAAATTTAATATACGCACATTTCTTATGGACTGTATTTAGTTTTATCGACCCATCGTTAACACTTCTTGTATAAACGTCGACGTAATTTCGCCAACACGCCACGCATTAGAACTCTGTGAAACTGCAGGTGTTTTTCATTATCAGTTGATGGTTGAATATTATATAATAACAAGAACTTTTTATAAAAAAACATCGTCTCATGTTGCCGGCAGTGTTACCGTTGTGTATGCAAAGAATTACAAACTGAAAGTACTACTCGAAAACGCGTATAAACGGACGGTTAAATCGCACACCAACTGCGACTGAGGTAACATACACTACCTAAACCTCATAATATTTATTATCTGATGCGTTATCACATAAAATTTAGCATATCTATATTATAGTATCGAGTATAATAAAAATCCCAGTGTTTCGATGTCTAGAGGGAACTAAAAAGTCGAAAATCTGTACATCGAAATTTTGAAATACCGATATGATTCAAAATATGCATGAACTAAGAAATAAAAATTATATTTATTTTTAAAAGACATTTTTTTATTGTTTTTGTATTGTGTGTTAATAACTATTATCATGTGTCACAATATATTATCTGCTTTACACGAGTAAGCACACCAGTTGGATTATTTACTTTAAAGTCCGATCTGAAACCGGTGAATTCGTGGTCCTGGATAATTAAAAGCCTAATAATAATGTGTTACCATAATATCATCGAAATGTGCACATACGACAATTATAGACGTTTGAGTAAACAGGTCACGGATGAGTGTTTCAATGAGAGATCTTAGCCAATCTCTGGCTTATTAACTCTTTCGTCGAAATAGATTGCGTGCAAATGACTATTCGAACTAATGTGTACGTCATAATAAAGTGTGCGCACGCGTATACTTACAACTGGCGAGCGAGGACGATCGCTGAACGATGACGGGGACCAGTACGCGGCAGTGAAAACGTATAATATAAATCCCTCGTCGACCGTAGACTATATATAATTGAAACGCGGGAGTGTGCGTCAGCTGATTTCTCCATGACAGGTATATCCGGCAAATTCAATTAGACCGTCTGCCGTCTAATTATAATTGTCAACCACCGATCGGTGCCATAATGAATGCGAAAACCACTCTTCATTCAATATTACGGAGACGATGGCGTCTGAGTCGTCGTACCTGGTATAATACACACACGTTATTTCATACTATATTACCTAAGAAACAACCATTCTTCGGAAACCATTTTGTCGTTGTGTCGGATTTGTTGATGGCAATCGCGAAAAAAAAAATAATAAATGATCGTAAACGAGTCGATCATCACTCGCAGTCCCACCGCGATAAGATACCCATTTCGATACATTGACACGTCGCGTGTAGACTATACATATACCTAATACAAGAGCGCTCGTGTGAAATATAGTATGTTGTCATATTGTAGAAGACGATGAGATGCTGTAAGAATATCCAAACAATCATAGTTTTAAGATAAATTGACAATTTACTATCACATTTTGTGTATACTATTTTAAATTTTTTTTTATTTATTTGTATTTATTGATTTATAACCTTTAACAATATTATACATCGATCTCGAAAAACAAATGAGACTGATTGGATATTTTTTATTTTATTTTTTTATTTTTTTTTTATTTTAGATGGTAGTGAAAAGAATAGATTTGCGTAGTTTGAGTAATTCAGTCGACTTCCCCAGACCACTGATAAATATTTTATGGTTTTATTTTTTAAAGGGTAATTGCAGTACTCGAATACCTGTTACAAACGGTTTTTAATAATCTTGTTGATGCATTTATATTTTGAAACATGTTTTTAAAATCTTAATATTTCGCCATATTCTTATC